ACCAAGCCACCAATTTTGGAAGTATGTTGCAAAACTACGTACGTAGCAGAATGTTTCTGGTCTGATGAACATGCCTCCCCAGTCTCTAAACCTTGCCCCTATATCCGTGTACTCTTCCCCATTAATTGGTCCTCTCTTCCAATCCTGATGTTGTATAGTTGGGAGGAGGAGACCGAGAAAGAGAAAGTGAAAGTAAACAAAGGGGTGGAACAGAAAATATCTGTACTGCCACAGGCTACATAAAAATGAGCAACTTAGAGCTATTGTATATGCTACTATTATGTTACCATCAAATGCTCTATATTTAAACTAAATTAAAGGCACCATATGTGTTTGCTGTTAAAGTAATCCAGTATCAATTCAGTATCTTGTCTTTGATTTTTTCAGATCTGGTCCTGTTGGCGTCAGTATCACACAGTGATCACAGTTCACACCTGCAGTGAAGCCCCTCCCACAACAATTCACCTATAAATACTGGGAATATTCACATCATCCTACAAGAGAAGGACAAACTCCAGGAGTAGCAGCTGAAATCTGTGTGACTGTTAAAGATGGAGTTTATTAAAGTGGAGATTGAAGACATGAGTGATCCAGAACCATCCAGAATAAAAAATGAAGATACTGAGGAACAAATAGGTTGGTGTCCATTCTTGATTCTTCATTGTTGACTGCTTAGGTGGCCGTGAAATATTAAGTAGTATATGGATGTAAAATTATACAGAAATGCATCTGAATGATCATAACCAGTGGTGGACAAAGTACACAAATCAAGTACTTAACTAAAAGTACAGACACTCTGTAAAAATATTACTCCAGTAAAACCCAAAGATGAAAATTCTGTCATTAATTACTCACCCTCATGTCGTTCCAAACCTGTAAGACTTTCGTTCATCTTTGGAACACAAATTAAGATCTTTTTGATGAAATCTGAGCGATTTCTGTCACTCCATTGACACCCTTTTGACGCTTCATATATATTGATCAATACACATACATACACTCACCTAAAGGATTATTAGGAACACTTGTTCAATTTCTCATTAATGCAATTATCTAATCAACCAATCACATAGCAGTTGCTTCAATGCATTTAGTTATGTGGTCCTGGTCAAGACAATCTCCTGAACTCCAAACTGAATGTCAGAATGGGAAAGAAAGGTGATTTGAGCAATTTTGAGCGTGGCATGGTTGTTGGTGCCAGACGGGCCGGTCTGAGTATTTCACAATCTGCTCAGTTACTGGGATTTTCACGCACAACCATTTCTAGGGTTCACAAAGAATGGTGTGAAAAGGGAAAAACATCCAGTATGCGGCAGTCCTGTGGGCGAAAATGCCTTGTTGATGCTAGAGGTCAGAGGAGAATGGGCCGACTGATTCAAGCTGATAGAAGAGCAACTTTGACTGAAATAACCACTCGTTACAACCGAGGTATGCAGCAAAGCATCTGTGAAGCCACAACACGCACAACCTTGAGGCGGATGGGCTACAACAGCAGAAGACCCCACCGGGTACCACTCATCTCCACTACAAATAGGAAAAAGAGGCTACAATTTGCAAGAGCTCACCAAAATTGGACAGTTGAAGACTGGAAAAATGTTGCCTGGTCTGATGAGTCTCGATTTCTGTTGAGACATTCAGATGGTAGAGTCAGAATTTGGCTTAAACAGAATGAGAACATGGATCCATCATGCCTTGTTACCACTGTGCAGGCTGGTGGTGGTGGTGTAATGGTGTGGGGGATGCTTTCTTGGCACACTTTAGGCCCCTTAGTGCCAATTGGGCATCGTTTAAATGCCACAGCCTACCTGAGCATTGTTTCTGACCATGTCCATCCCTTTATGGCCACCATGTACCCATCCTCTGATGGCTACTTCCAGCAGGATAATGCACCATGTCACAAAGCTCAAATCATTTCAAATTGGTTTCTTGAACATGACAATGAGTTCACTGTACTAAAATGGCCCCCAAAGTCACCAGATCTCAACCCAATAGAGCATCTTTGGGATGTGGTGGAACGGGAGCTTCGTGCCCTGGATGTGTATCCCACAAATCTCCATCAACTGCAAGATGCTATCCTATCAATATGGGCCAACATTTCTAAAGAATGCTTTCAGCACCTTGTTGAATCAATGCCACGTAGAATTAAGGCAGTTCTGAAGGTGAAAGCGGGTCAAACACAGTATTAGTATGGTGTTCCTAATAATCCTTTAGGTGAGTGTATATTGATCTGCAAGTAAGAAAATTAACATTTTATTTTATTACCAAAACTTATACAAGATCAAAACATTAAAATATCAATCTAGCTTCCTGATAGATGGGAGGGGTATAGCACAGTATTTAAGAATAAGGAAAAATATAGCTGCAGGCAGCGATGCAGGGCTGGAAGCGCCAGAATAACAAAAACAGCAGAAATAGAATGTAGATGATGAACAAAAAAGTTCAAATGTACATGTAGGATGAACTCAAAATGAACCGAAGTTCAGATGAGAATGAACACAGTATTAACAAAAATACACTTATTTCTAATCCTGGAGGAAGAAAGATTAGTACAATGCTTACCCAGGTAATAAAGAAATGGCACACACATGAAACATGAAACATTACACACCATTTTATAAAGTTGTTGCACACGGGACTTGAACCCATAGCCTCTGGGTCAGGGGCCACTCATCTCATTGTGCCACTGGGAAGACATGTTTACACAGATGCAGAACTTCCATAGTTCAAAAGAGAACCAACTCAAAATGAAGATTTAGTATGTAAATGCACCGCAGGTTATATTTAATAAATTCAGATTAGATAATTCTCAGAAAGACTCAATGTCTGGAACAGAAGTAACTTTTACAAATAACCAATTAGCATGCTAAGCTAACCTAGCACAAGACAAGACATCAGATCTCATGACCTGTAGGTGGCGCTGTTCGCAAATTTGGCATGGACTTGTGTTGTCAAAAAGTACTGACTTCGGTACCAAGTCGGTACTGAATTTAAAAAATGTGACGCTCTGAGCGCTGTTGAGCGGAATCGTAAACACGTCTGTTTGCCCATTGTGCTCATCAAATATGTCTGTGATTGGCTACAATGATCAGCGCTTCAAAAACATGTTGTACATATACATCAAATACGCTCTTCACTGAACACTTACACAAATACACACATTTGAAAGCAGGCGTCCGGTCCGCTGATAGACGCCCCTGATTGTGCTTTGAAACGCTTTCAAACACTTCCAGGTATTCTCAATTGCTCATGTTTTTTGATCATTATAGCCAATCATAGACATATCCGATGAGCGTGTGAACACAATGGCCGATCAGAGGTGTTTACTATTCCGATCAAAATACAGACTCGGTACCGAAATTGGTACTTTTGACAACAGTAGCATGGACTCTCAGATTGTGGTTCCAATGAAGCGTACCAATTTTCGTTTTGGTTGATCAAAGTTTGGCCGAGATAGAGTCTCTTAACCAATTCTGGGTCGACCTAAAATCAATACAATAAAATTCATAACTTTTTTTTTCATCAGTAGGTCATAAAATTCCATTCAGTCATTTCTGTGAGGCAAATTCCATTCAGTCATTTCTGTGAGGCAAAGATCATCTGAGGAGGAGTAGCGAAAAAAAAAAACTGTTTTTCATTTACTTCAAAATAGTGTACAGTCACATTGTTGGAAAATGACAAATGAGATATCGTCGTAATCAGCATAAACCAAGGAATTTAATGACATGAAATTTTGAACTATGTTTTCAAAAGTTAAAAGCGTTTAAAAAAAAAAAAAAAAAAAAACATAACACTAGGTGTTCAAACTTCTCAGGTCCCTTCAGGACAAAAAAAAAAAAAAATCAGATCTCATGACCCCGTTGGTGGAGCTGTTCCCAAATTTGAAATGGATCCTCAGATCATGGTTCCGATAAAGCATACCAATTTTCGTTTCGATTGATCAAAGTTTAGCCGAGATAATGCCTCTGAACCCATTCTGCATCAAGCTCGTTTCATTTCTATGCGGCTCAGTCCAAAGATCATCTGATCAGATTTTGTACAAAATTTGACAAATTTTGAAGGAGGAGTAGCGAATAAACGGTATACTGTACTTTTCAAAATGGGCAGAGTCTTAAGATTTTGAATGTTATCAGCATGAAGAGCAGATTAAGGTGAACTAAATTTCATTTTTCTAGAACAAAGGATTTTAGTTTATTTTGAACTGGTGGTGGTGCTATAGAGTGGGTCCTAGAGACTCCAAAATTGGTCAAATCACTAATAATTACCATCTAATTGTGCGACATGTTATTCTCATGTTATGTTCATAGGGCTGCCATACACTCCCATTCAGGAAGAAAAAATAATAGTGTGGAAAACAACTGACAGTCGTGACCTAAATATGATTTTCCTTTATAATAATGAAATATGCTTGTCCTCAAGTTTCGGGGATCTCTTGGTTCTTGGCTAATTTTCAGTCAAACTTGTGAATTCAGTTAACTGGAGACTCGCTCTTAACGGATCATTCGGTGAGTTGTTGACTCGAGAACAGCTGAGATCGGTTCAGTGTAATACGCAAATTAATAGTTCGGTGTGATTTGGAAACTAATTTAACAGACTTATTGAAAAGAATCAGCTTGTTCACGAATCGGACACCGCTCTCGCGTCTTGGAGCATGTGACGATTTCTTCAGTTCAAAGTAAGGAGGAACGAGATGTTTTTAGGAATTGTAGTGGAGTAAAAATATGATATTATGCTTTAGAATGTAGTAAAGTAAAAGTTTCTTGAAATAAAAATACTCTAGTAAAGTACAAATACTTGACAAATGTACTTAAGTACTGCAACAAAGTACAAATATTTGTTGCTGTCCACCACTGATCATGACCCAGTTTTAATCGTATTGACAAGTGAATCACAAAACCGACCTTTGCACATCAAAGATACTTTATCCTGAGAGGTGTCTTCTTTTCTGCTAAGTGATTTTGATTTTAACATTTAACCTCATTGAACTAATTCTAACTTCTTAATACTTTTATTTTAGACAAGATGAATGTGAAGGAGCAAAGGCCAAAACTAAATGACATAAAGAAACACGGTGACTTCAAAATACAAGGAAGAGAAGCCAAAGATCTGAACTCCTGCTCTCAGTGTGGAAAGAGTTTCCAAAAGAAAGCAAAGCTTAACAGACACATGAGAATTCATACGGGAGAGAAACCATATACATGCCCTCAGTGTGGAAAGAGTTTCACACAAAAAGGAGACCTTAACAAACACATAAGAGTTCACACTGGAGAGAAACCGTATACATGCACTCGGTGTGGAAAGTGTTTTTCTCAAGCATCAGGTCTCAGTGTTCATCGGCTCCGTCACTCTGGAGAAAAACCATTTAACTGTGATCAGTGTGGTAAAGATTTTATTTCATCATCAAATCTAAAACAACATCTGAAAGTTCATTCAGATGAGAGGCCTTATGTGTGTTCTTTTTGTGGAAAGAGTTTTTCACGACTGGACTGTTTTAAACAGCACCAGAAAATGCATCATGAAGTGCGAGATCATGTGTGTTGTGACTGTGGGAAGAGCTTTACTACAACTGGTCATCTGAAGGAGCACCAAAGAATTCATTCTGGAGAAAGACCTTACCACTGTACTCAGTGTGGAAAGAGTTTCACAAATAAAGGTGACCTTAACAAACACACAAGAATTCACACTGGAGAGAAACCGTATACATGCACTCAGTGTGGAAAGAGATTTTCTCGAGCATCAACTCTCAATAATCATCTGCGTATTCACTCTGGAGAAAAACCATTCAACTGTGATCAGTGTGGTAAAGCTTTTAATTCGTCATCTAGTCTAAAACAACACCAGAAAGTTCATTCAGATGAGAAGCCGTATGTGTGTTCTCTCTGTGGCAAGAGTTTTTCACGGCTGAACAGTTTTAAACATCACCAGAAAACACATAATGAAGTGAGAGATCATGTGTGTTGTGACTGTGGGAAGAGCTTTACTAGAGATGACCATCTGACACAGCACCAAAGAACTCATACTGGAGAAAGACCTTACAAGTGCTCATACTGTGACAAGAGTTTCACTCATTCTGGAAACTTGAAATCACACGAGCGACTTCATACTGGAGAGAAGCCGTACTACTGTACTGAGTGTGAGAAGAGTTTCAAACATTTATCAAGCCTTCACAATCATAAGAAAAAATGTTGCAAGTGAGCATCAATCTTTTTCATGTCAAATACTTCACAAGTAAACTGTGAGATAATTTTTTTTTAGTTTTTCCTTAAAATTGATCTTGATCAATTTTGTGAATTTAGTGAAAAACTAGCTTCACTAGTGCAGAGATGTTCACAAGTCTTTCATCTGGAGTCCGAGTCAAGTCTGAAGTCTTTATCACTAGAGTGTGAGTCAAGTCTAAAGTCTTTATCACTGGAGTGCGAGTCAAGTCTGGAGTCTTTTGTCACGAGTCGAGTCTCGAGTCATTTCATGCCTTACAAAAAAAAAAAACGAATTCTCATAATTTTAGGTTGGTGTATGTTGTTGATTCTTCAGTAATTCTATGAATTAATTATCAGTATATGGATAATAAATAGGGGTGTGTCGAGATCTCCTGCCACGGACAAGGGAGAAAAGGTGGTGGCATATGCATCAAGGACCTTAACTGAAGCAGCGAAAAATTACAGCACTTCGGAAAAGGAATGTCTAGTAGTGGTTTTGGCTGTTGAAAAGTGGTGACATTACCTGGAGGGAAGGCCCTTTGACGTCTTCAATGACCACTCGGCACTTGCATGGGCCAGCAGCCATATCACCCTGTAGCCCAAGACTGGTTGCCCACTGAAGCTAAGCAGGGCTGAGCCTGGTTAGTACCTGGATGGGAGACCTTCTGAGAAAACCAGGTTGCTGCTGGAAGAGGTGTTAGTGAGGCCAGCAGGGGGCGCTCACCCTGTGGTCTGTGTGGGTCCTAACGCCCCAGTATAGTGACGGGGACACTATACTGTCAAAGAGCACCGTCCTTCGGATGAGACGTTAAACCGAGGTCCTGACTCTCTGTGGTCATTAAAAATCCCAGGATGTCTTTCGAAAGAGTAGGGGTGTAACCCCGGCATCCTGGCCAAATTCGCCCAGTGGCCTCTGTCCATCATGGCCTCCTAATAATCCCCATATATATATATATATATATATACACTAATTGGCTTCATCACTCTGTCTCCTCTCCACCTATAGCTGGTGTGTGGTGAGCGTTCTGGCGCAATATGGCTGCCGTCGCATCATCCAAGTGGATGCTGCACATTGGTGGTGGTTGAGGAGATTCCCCCTTCCATGTGAAGCGCTTTGAGTGCCTAGAAAAGCGCTATATAAATGTAATGAATTATTATTATTATGGGCGTTCAACTGCCCTAAAACCTCCTCACGTCTAACCCTCTGGACACTCTGCCTGCAACAGTTCAACTTTCAGGTCCATTACAGGAAAGGTTGCCTCAACATGGGACCTTACACTATGTCCCGGGTCCAGGAGATGCCTGCTGCTGATGCTGCCCCTTGCCTATCCATATCTTCACACCATGCGTCTGCATTACCTCACTGTCTGGAAGAAATTACTAAAGCTCAACGTTTGGTCAATACCATCACTCACCTGCAGTCTAGCATCAAACCTCGATCAGTCAAAGATCAACCAATCACATTTGAAGACCTCCAAGGGGTTGGTACCACAAAGTTCCTTTAAGAAATAAGGGAGAGAAGTATCAGTTGGTAGTACCACAATCGTTAAACACTGACTTCTTGGATTATTACCACGATAATCCACTTGGAGGCCATCTCGGACAGTAAAAAAACTCTGCTGCATGGTAGCCGTCCGTCAGGAAGGACGTGTGCCAATACGTCAAAAGCTGTGAGATATTCCAGAAATATAAACCCAGCAATACCAAACCTTCTGGGTTTATGCAGAGTACACAGATCACAGAACCTGGACACATGTTAGGGGTGGATCTAATGGGACCCTTCCCCAACAGTAAAAGACAGAACACGTACCTCCTTGTCATTGTTGATTGCTTCACTAAGTGGGTGGAAATGTCAGAAAATAGTGAAAATACACGGTGGGGGGTACCCAAATACCTGGTGTCCGATAGGGATCCCCAATTCACTTCCAGCATTCTGGGCGATCTGTGCAAAACATCGGGTTGTGTTCAAAAACTACGAGTTATCACCCACCACGAGTTATCACCCACAGTCAAACCTAACAGAAAGAATCAACCGAACAGAAAAAACTGTGATTGCTGCTTATGTATGTAGCGTGGCCACATAAAGGGGATATTTATAAGGGGGCTTATTAAACTAATTAAAGAGTTATATATGTCAGCCGTGGTGTTTTGTTGCCCCTGTCAAGTGTTGGTCTTACTGTTTTCTCTAAGCAAGTGTCTTGATCGTTACACCTGGGAATCCCTGTGACGTCATACGTCAGCTGATCAACTTCACTTCCGATAAAGGGAGCCGGCTTACCTGCATTCGGGAGCAACGCCACTATTGCTCTTTTGGATTACGATCGATCGCACTACATGGCTTGGCTGTCATTGACTGTGACTGACTCTTTAAGGAGATACATACTTGTTGGATTATTTCACCTTGGAGATCGCTTCACAGGACAACGCTGTTCCTCATCGTGTGCCCGGACTTAAACGGCTTACCGGTGAGGCCGATTCAACGTACATACACAACATTGGACTGGAACACACACGTACATACTTTTTTGTATATATTGTATATATTGATTTTCGGTGCTTTCTATGTAATAAACTTTGGGTTGTCATTTAATCTTGCTTGTTGTTTTGTTTACATTGTGAGCAATTCTATCAAACACTTTTATAACGGTTCATTAAGTAAGGTCTTTATACATCAATGAAAACATAGTTATGTATATGATTGCATTTCTGTCAACAGATCCTCCTAAATATTACACAATACACCTTTAACGTACGACCTGAGGTAAAGTGTTCAGACTGCAGACTCAGCAATGATTGTATTTAATTGTACAGTACAATCATAACATAGCATAACATTAAAAGTCACGTGTCTAGTATCTGGAAAACCGCATTTTTCCATCTTAAAAATATATATAAATTACGCCATATGCTCTCATTGACAAATGCGGAACAATTATTTCATGCGTTTATTACCTCAAGGCTAGATTATTGTAATGCTCTACTGGGTGGTTGCCCTGCATGCTTAATAAACAAACTACAGCTGGTTCAAAACGCAGCAGCTCGAGTTCTTACCAGAACCAGGAAGTATGACCACATTTGCCCGGTTCTATCAACACTGCATTGGCTGCCTATTAAACATCGTATATATTTTAAAATATTGCTGATTACTCACAAAGCACTAAATGGTTTAGCTCCGCAGTACTTGAGTGAGCTCTTAACGCATTATAGTCCTTCACGTCTATTGCGATCTCAAAGTTCCGGCCAGTTGATAATACCTAGAATATCAAAATCGACTGCTGGCGGTAGATCCTTTTCCTATTTAGCACCAAAACTTTGGAACAGTCTTCCTACCATTGTCCGGGAAGCAGACACACTCTTATCAGTTCAAAGCTAGACTAAAAACACATCTCTTTGACCTAGCATTCACATAATACATTATAGACTTCTATAATTCAATGTTAGGCTGCATAGATTAGGTCAGCCGGAACTGGGAACACTTCCCTTAAATCCTGATGTACTCGTTACATCATAAGAAGAATGGTGTGAACATAGTGTCTTTGTTTATCTCAAGGTTTTCCCGCAGCCTGCCAGATCCAGGCCGTTTCCAGATCTGACGAAGGACCTTCGCCTGGACCCGAAGACAACACAGTGCTGAAGTGCCAACTAGCCTCTCCCTATGGAGGATCCCTATACCACTCTACAGATAAAGCGTTGTGAAATTTCAGTTCGCGTACCTACCCCGAAGTGATCAAATAAAATAAAATAAAATTCTGTATCAAAATTTACAGGCAAGACAAGTAGTTTGTTTAGACATGGTTTGTAGGGAATTACAAACCTGCACACATATATTCAAATGCACATAACAATAGAATCAATTCTTAATGCGCATGTGAACGCCATCAGCGTTTATCACAGGTTCGCGTTTAAAGTCAGTTTAGAGAGAACGGTGTCGTCTTAGCGGCCCCTAATTTAATAACAAATGATCATTTTGACGGAAGTAAATCAATCAAAACTAACTTTAGCTGGAAAATAACATTATTTAAGAACTGCTATAAAACCAAACCAATCTCTGTTACCTTAAATTATGTTTATCTCTGTAAAGCTGCTTTGAAACAATCCATTGTTAAAAGTGCTATATAAATGAGGATGACTTGATTTGACTTGACATAGTACAGACATTATCTTAATTTCATAATGTCCTTAAACATAACAATATTGCTGGCCATAAACTGAGAAAGTGCGCGTCCGGTGTGCGATTCCACGAGTTGTCCTAGACACGAAGTGACACATCGCTTCTCGTCCGGTTTGCGACCCCATTAAAGGTTCTCTAAGTGATCCTGGGTGACGTCACTTCTTGTTGACGTTCGAACTATTGTCAAACAAAACGGAGCTAGACCCTCCCTCCTCCTTATCCGCAAACCACACCCCCAAACCCTTCTTGTTTGGAACAGCCTTCATTGGCTGGAACAGTTTGTTATGTTTCGTGGTGCGGGTAAGCCTTTTTGTTGCCGTTTGTGGAGCCTGGGGTGTCTGCAGAGACCGCGTTTTTTTACAGTGTGTTCAGGGGACAGGCAGCCAGCGGATAGTGAGGAGATGTTTGCTGTATGTGACAAAAAAAGTTTTGGCCTAAAAAACGCGTGACATCGCTTAGAGCACCTTTAATCGTCTGCTAAATGTCTTATCTTGTAGAATGCGCGCTCAGCACTATACATGGATCAATCTTGAATTGGAAAGTGAAAGTAAAACACGAGCTCCCTGATGCGTGCAAATTAGTCTGCATACAATAGCCTGTCTCCCAATATCAAACCTATCTCTGGACTGTTTAGTAGTGGCTTTGGTCTCTTTTTTGGTCTCTGTTTGCACTTTGAATATTGAGAGAGTACTTTGATTATGGTTACACTTGCACTTATTGGGTCTCATTCATGAAACACGAGCAGAACAATTGTGTAAATCGTGTGTAAAGTGGTTCTGGCATTTTCGGATTCATTAAAATGTTTGTATTTTCCAAATGTTAGTTGGTACGAGCAGAACAAATTGTGTAAATCGTGTGTAAAGTGGTTCTGGCATTTTCGGATTCATTAAAATGTTTGTATTTTCCAAATGTTAGTTGGTATGAAAGAAATCTACACCTGCTCCCAGCCACCCGTAAATAGTGAGTTTAACATCCGAACGTTTTGCTCATTAATAACTAAGGCTGCATTTTAATTCACCTTGCGTACATATTTACACAGCATTTTGAAAAAATATTATATATAGTAATTACATGAAAATAAAATGTGGTGTTTTGAATGAACTTCTGATAATAAAACTTTGATTTCTGCATCTGAGAAATTTTTCTTTTTCATTCGCTTTTGAGAAGACATGTTGAAATCCTTCGTTTGGTGTCATAATATGATGCCCATATATAGTTGTCAGTCGGATTTAATGGGCGGCATTTATGGTTATTGAGAATGAGCGTGCACGCGCGTCCCATTTACGACTGATTGGAATTCATTAACACACACACACATTTCACTATCACATCTGACGTTTACGAAGTATTTGTGAATCAGGAGATGAGTTTTCGGGAAGGTCTCTTTACGCGCAAATCACTCTCATATTTACTTTACGAATGTTTCATGAATGAGACCCACTGTTTGCACTCAATAATAAGACTAAGAAAAAAATGTAATTTTTATTTTTTGGTATTTATACTGTTTTTATTTCTATGTTCAATTTGTGCAAAGGAGTTCAATTTTGAGGTCACACACAGACTCAAATCTCATAATTCATATACAGTAAGGTCCAAAGAGACTCATGTTAAATCATACAGGAGAAAAGCCAGAGTTTGTGGCAAAACCTTTTTACAGTGCTTGTATATTGTTGTCTTTCAATGCATTTGATAAGTCATACTCATAAACTATAACTGAAATGACATTCATTACAAGATTGCAGCAAACATATTTGTCAACATTATTCTTTTGTTTTATCAATACTTTTTTTTTTTACTTTACTAGGAATGGAAGTTGAAACTTTGTAGAAATAAGAAAAGTAAAATCATATAGATCTATGCGACATGTGCCCCATTTAAAATGAACACAAGTATTAACACAATAAAAAGTCTAAAGGTTTTTTTTTTTCAACATAAAAAGCACATGTTTAAAACATATTGTATGGGTTTTAAAAGTGTTAATATTTTCTGCAAAGGACATCAGAGTCTGGAAAAAACTTACCATATAGGATCATCTGGTCTGTAAATATGCATCAGCCTTAAGCTGCAGCTATTATTAATGATTGTACTTGTTTGAGGAGAAAAAATTTCATTATTTTTGGTCCCCATGGGAACAGCTTATAAGTCATAAAAAATTATATATATTTTTTGAAAATGTAAAAATGGTTAGGTTTAGGGGTTGGGTTAGGGGATAGAATAAGCAGTTTGAACAGTATATGAAAAAAAAGTCCCAAAAAATTAAAACCCAAATGTGTGGATTTGTGTGTGTGTGGTGATTTTCTTAAAGATACAACAAACTAAGAGCATTGTTGAGTCCTCGTTTGAGGTGACGAGAGTTGCATCTGTGCTGCGTCAAACACACAGACACCTTCACATTTGGATTCTTTTTAAAAAGATTTCTTTAAAAAGAAACATTGTGACAAACGCATACGTTGGAGAATTCATGCTGCTTGAATCTTTGTAGAAATAGATTAAGATCTAAGAAGACCAAAAACCGTCCAAAATCAGACGAGAATCGCACAGTGGATGCCCGCCTGCAATCAAAAGCTACAGCAGGCAGTGGTTTGAGTGAATACTCTTGTTAAGCCTTACACACACACACACACACGTCCTATGATTATTTACCTTCATGTTTTGTTCTTATTCTGTTCTGGCTATTTTATTTATAAATGGATTTTGTTGTTTTCATGAAACTGTTGGCTGACAATAAATCACATTTAACATCGAGGTCCAACCTTATTCACCAAGATCCGCTAACTTTGAAGTTTCTGTCATCGTCAATGCTGTAGATATCTACGTATCAGTGGTGTGCGGTTGTTTTTTAAAAATACTGTAAGCGATTGAAGGTAAATATACACATATGATTTGATTATTAGTATATTTTGCTTCATAACAGTGTGGAGATTTACTGAATGCGGCCCCTTTAAGAAACATAACAACGCACGCACTGAGCATGCGCAAAAAAGAGGATGCGCGAGAGCCCTTTATAGGTTTTATTTCGTCTCTCTCTCTCTTTTTTTTTCTTTGACGTTGTGTAAAAGTCGATTACATTATGATCTCCTGCGAGGCTATGTTATTGTTAAGTTAATGTTCTTGTTGAAACTTTAACCAGTTAAGCTGAAAGTGACGCTGTTAACGATCGTGAATGAAGGACAAATGTGGAATATTTTCTTCGGATGTCGTATATTTCCAGTCTGCAGGTTAGAGATGTTTTATTTATAATGTAAGAATTGATGTTTGTCTTGCCTAAATGTACATTGTTCGAAGTGTAACGTACAGAGAATTAAATATAGTCATTAATTTCGATCAGCCTCTATTCAGTCTGTTGTGTATGATTTTTGTTATCTTTGTAAGATTTATGTTTAAGTCATATATTATTTGAAAATTTTTACCTGTGACGTATTTCATCTTTATTAAATCTGGATTCCCGTAAAAATGTCTGTGATTGGCTACAATGATCAGCGCTTTAAAAACATGTTATAAATATACATCAATGATGCTCTTCAGCAAGCGCTTACACAGATACATGGGAGCGTTTGAAAGGTGGCGTCTATCAGCGGATCGGTCCGCTGGCGCTGATAGCTTGTGCTTTCAAACGCTCCTGCTTTCAAAACACTTTCAAACGCTTCCGTGTGCTCTCAAACTCTCCCGTGCATTGATCATTGTAGCCAATCAGACATATCCGATGAGCTCGTGAACACAATGTCCAAACACAGGTGTTTATGATTCCGCTCAACTGCGTTCAAAGCATTACATTTTTAAAATTTCAGTAGGCCTACCGACTTGGTACTACTTAAATATTCCCTTCACCTTCCTAATATTGTGTGTTGGCCTCCCTTTTGCTTCCCGTCAAGGTATGTACTCCACTAGACCCCTGAAGGTGTACTGTGGTATCTGGTACCTTGAAGTATGGTATCTGGTATCTCTTCTTGAAGTCCTGTAAGTTGAAGTCCTGTAAGTTGCGAGGTGGGGCCTCCATGGATCAGACTTGTTTGTTCAGCGCATCCCACAGATGCTCGATTGGATTGAGATCTGGGGATTTTGGAGGACGTCAACACCTCAAACTCATTGTTGTGCTCCTCAAACCATTCCTGAACCATTTTTGCTTTATGACAGGCCGCATTATTCTGCTGAAAGAGGCCACAGCCACCAGGGAATACCGTTTCCATGAAAGGGTGTTACATAATGTGTAACCTTCAAAATGCTCTATATTTGAACTAAACATATTTGAAGCACCATAAGTGTTTCCTGTTAAAATAATACGGTATCAATTCAGTATCTTGTCTTTGATTTTTCCAGATCTGGTCCTGTGGGCGTCTGTATCACTCAGCGATCACAGTTCACACCTGCAGTGAAGCCCCTCCCACAACAATTCACCAATAAATACTGGGAATATTCCCATCATCCTACAAGAGAAGGACAAACTCCAGGAGTAGCAGCTGAAATCTGTGTGACTGTTGAAGATGGAGTTTATTAAAGAGGAGATTGAAGACATGAGTTATCCAAAACCATCCGGAATAAAACATGAAGATACTGAGGAACACACAGGTTGGTGTCCATTCTTGATTCTTCATTGTTGACTGTTTTGGTTGTGAAATAATATGCAGTAAAATGATGATAAATGATAGAGAAATGCATCTGAATGATCATAACCAGTGGTGGACAAAGTACACAAATCAAGTACTTGACTAAAAGTACAGTTACTCTATTAAAATATTACTCCAGTAAAAGTAAAAAAGGGTTAGTTCACCCAAAGATGAAAATTCTGTCATTAATTACTCACCCTCATGTCGTTCCAAACCCGTAAGACTTTGGTTCATTTTTGGGACACAAATGAAGATCTTTTTGATGAAATCTGAGCAATTTCTGTCACTCCATTGACAGCTACGCAAGTACCATTTTGACGCTTCAAATATGCCGATCAATATACATACATATTATTGATCTGCAAGTAAGAAAGTTAACATTTTACTTTATTACCAAAACTTATCATACACTATCAAAACATTAAATATATTAAAGCTGCAGTCCGTATCTTTTTTGGGTTAAAAATTATCCAAAATAATTTAAGCAAGTACATAACCAGCCATTGTTCAAAACTCTCTGCTTGCCTTAGCTCGATTCAAAGCGGTAAGCTTGTAATAATGTTTTTAATTCCAGTGGTACTGGTGGATTTCCGCGGGAGATTCGAGCATGTCTTTGCGTCATTACGTCACATCTGTACACATAAAGAAGAGTCTCGGCTAGTAGGCTATATTGCGAGTGAGGATGTTGGAGGTGGAGATTTATAGCCTTTTCTCACAGCACTTGATATAATTAAACTTATCAATTTGATGGCGGATCCAGAAAGGTTCAAACGACAATCACCAGTGACAACTAGAGATTCACCCGCTGTAAAATGCAAAAGACTTCGTTCGGACTTCAGAGTGGCTACAGAAAAAAAGAGACTGCAACCGGCCCATGGGAAAACAAGGATAATATCGGAAGGGCATTAAATGTAGTCACGCAATGCTGATGTTGTTAACATTAACAATTTGAGAAGAAAGTATAATTTGCACGGTTTTTACGTGATATGATAAGCGTTCGTTATATTTAATCAGCGCGATTTACAGCAATGCTTTTTTTCCCCTTAGTTGGTCAGAACAAAAGTGGATGTTACTTACTTGTTCCGGTGACATTTTCCGGTAAAAATTCTTATGTTGGTCATACATCCCAAAAGTATAATCTGTGAATCTGAATGACAGTCTCCACACTGGCGCGGCGACTGACAGCCTCACAGTCTCCTCAAAACATTGGATTCATCCCCGCCGTGCCGTGGCACAACTCGCGTAAATCGGCAAAAATCGGCAATTTATGTGGCGAAAGTGCGGCGTATTATTTGAAAAAATCCGGCACCCGCATGAATATGCGGACTTTGGCTGATTATGCACTAAATCATGCGATCGCATAATCATGTTTTTTCTGGAGGGACTGATAACCTTGCCTTGTGCAACACATTTTGAGAGACATGAGAGAGAATACGCGGCAGCACCGCTGAACACTCAAGCTGTTTGTGAAATTGCGTACTCTACGGTGTGTTTTTGCTTGTGTTTCCACCTTTAGTGGTAACAGTTTTTTTTGTGTGCATATTTTACAAAATATTGTGCTTTGTTGGAGGTCTGATCTCTTGTAACCAAACTACTTCCATTCTATTGAAGTAGCTCCCTTTTTTTGTTATTCATCGGAGGCTAACATGCTACTCTCACGCTCAGACAGGTGTTGTTGTTATGCGCACGTAAATGTGCCATACGTCATCGCATCGCTATATCATTGATATTGGGATATGACACTTTTTTATCATGTAAAAATGTGTTCAAAATTTACACCGGTATTATCGTGGACGGTATGATATGGCACACCCCTACTGGGAAGACGTGTTCACACTTCTCAGGTCCCTTCAGGACATGCCGATGATGATGCCTACTGGATTTTGTCCTGATATGTCAAATCCTTTAAAAGATATTGCAATTTATGACTAAATTCAAAATGGCGACCTGAAGGTTCCTCCGATCCTGTCAAAATTGGTGTCCCCAGATTTGCAGTTGTATGGCGCTGTTCCCAAATTTAGCATGGACCCTCAGATCATGGTTCCGATCAAGCGTACCATTATTTGTTTCGATTTATCAAAATGTGGCCGAGATACTGCCTCTGAACCAATTTTGGGTCAAGCTCGTTAAGTTGGTGACATCATAACTTTTGAACAAAAATTAAATTAAAAAAAATCTTTCCAGTCATTTCTGTGTGGCTCAGTGCAAAGATCGGATCAGATTTTGGACAACATTTTACAAATTTTGAAGGAGGAGTAGTGAATAAACAGTGTACTGTACTTTTCAAAATGTAATGCTACAGTAATTGTCAGAGTAATTGTTGAATGTTGTCAGCATTAAGAGCGGATTCAGGTGAACTAAATCAATTTTTTTCTAGAACAAGGGGTTCTAAATGGGTCCTAGAGACTCACTAATCACTAATAATTACCATCTCTTCAATTGTGCCAAATTTCATTATTTTCTCATGTTCTGTTTATAGGCTGCCATACACTCCCATTTGGGAAGAAAAATAATAGTGCGGAAATATCCGTATACAATAGGGACTGCATCCCCTTCGGGTTGACAAAGAATATACAATCAGACGTCACATAGGGCTAAATGCACAAGATTTTAAGAAGAAACAATATGCAAACATACTAGTTTTACATAATTTGGGGAAGATGCTAGTCTGGGTTTCCCCATGCTGCCTTCCCGCAGCGCGATTTTATTAACGCTGAAAGGCAGTATGGATACCATGGACCAAATTTTCGCCTCATTTAGGGAACCAATCACAGAACGGGGAGGGAGCAGCAAGACGATGACGCGTCTATGCGACACACCGAAGCAGTTTGTTTATACCTATGGATCAAACATCGCGAAGTTACCCTTCGATGCAGCCTTATGGCCGTTTCACACATAGGTTTCACACCGCAAGCGTGAGCGGCATTTGAGCAGCGCGTCAGCGTAACTACATCGTCACTGCAGCTGCAGACGCGCGACAGTATTCACACTGGAAGCGTTTGTACAGTGTCACAGCAGCGGCTCCAAAGCTACATATCGTTAGCCTCATAACATAATTGATAAGTCATTTTGTGTTTTTTCTTGTTTTCCAAAGACATTGAAATATGACTTCGGCATTATATATAAGCGAGCAATTCTTTACAAAGACAACTATACATTTGTTTTTAGAAGGTGGTCATTTTATAACATTGATAGTCTTGAAAGTTTGTAATGGGGAGGTGTACAACATTCGCATATAAGTTAAATGTAATACAACAAAACAACCCAGAAAATGGCTCCAATCTATTAGTTTCAGTCATACTTTCGATGTTTACAAGACCGCAACTCCGCGGATAAAAAACAAAACACACAAATAAACCACACACTCGGGTTTGATTTGGGTTGTGCTATCCTGTAGCTGTCTGTGTGTTAACGTTACATGAACTAAAATAACGTTTATATATAATATTTTCTGGCTAGTTTACTTTAGTTTTTTTTATATATAATACACAACTTTCAACCAAACTGAATAATTAAAAACAAGTTTTTACCGGGTAGCCTAAATCTTCTATAAATATTTTAGAGTCTTTATTTTCTTTTATTTGCCTACTCAAGTTCTTGTTAAAACTCACTAGACATGCTAATTCTGTGCATTTTGGGCACTTTTTGTGTGAAATCATATTTATTTTTGTCCATCAATAGTGTGCTTTCACTTTAATTTAGCGTGAGCAATGCAGCAAAAAACAGATTCGAAACCCCCGCTTCACTGCTGCTCACGCGCCGCTCCTGCTCGACGCTCACGCGCTGCTCCCGGTGTGAATGCACTCATTGATTAACATGCACGCCGAAAAAAATACGCTTCGCTTACGCATGCGGTGTGAAACGGCCGTTAGATACACGCCATCGTGACTACATCGCGTCAGCCTAGGCTACACATAAATCTCTACACAAAAATCTTCGACGTATAATCGAAACGATTGGCTATGAGCTACGTACAGGCGCATTTGATAGACATTCTTAGCACCCAATAAACGGCTCTGGGCATTCGTAAACCACGCCTCAAATACGAGAAAATGAACATGTGGTTCCCAGACCCAAGTCTCAACGAGAATTGCCTGGCTAGGAAGACGCATGGGCATTCATTTGTGTTATTTTAATGTTATGTTTAGTGATGTTTTTTAACTAAAACCTACCCCGTTGAGACGGTGATGTAGACATTTCTGCATTCAAGCATTACAGTGGGCTTCCTTAAACAGCTCACCTTTTTACAACAGATTTTTTTCACAAACAACTGACAGTCGTGACCTAAATATAATTTTCATTTATAATAATCATTCCTAAAATTCGGCATTTGTAACTTACTTTTCGGGCCAACGGTCGCGCTTGTACTCAAGTCTAGAGGATCTCTCGGTTCGTGGCAAATTTTCAGTCAGACTTGTGAATTCAGTTAACTGGAGACTCGCTCTAAACGGATCATTCGGTGAGTTGTTTAGAACAGCTGCGATCGGATCAGTGTAATTCACAAATGAATAGTTCGGTGTGATTTGCGAACTGATTTAACAGATTCATTGAAAAGAATCAGCTTGTTCACGAATCGGACACCGGTGTCGCTCGCGTATTAAGGAATGAGATGTTTTTTAGGAATATTAGTGGAGTAAAAATATGATATTATGCTTTAGAATGTAGTAAAGTGAAAGTAAACGTTTCTTAAATTAAAAAATACTTGACAAATGTACTTTTAAGTACTGTAACAAAGTAAAAATACTTTGTTGCTGTCCACCACTGATCATAATCAAGTTTTAATTGTATTAACAAGTGAATCACAAATCTGACCTTTGCACATCAAAGATACATTTATACAAACAGGTGTCTTGTTTTCTGCTAAGTGATTTTGATTTGAACATTTAACCTCATTGAACTGATTCTAACTGATTAATATGTTTTTTTTAGACCAGATTAAAGTGGAGCAAAGACCGAAACTAAATGACATGAAGAATAACTGTGACTTCAAATCTCAAGGAACAAAAGCCAAAAAGCTGCACTCCTGCTCTCAATGTGGAAAGAGTTTCCAAATTAAAGCAAATCTTAACAGACACATGAGAATTCACACTGGAGAGAAACCGTATCCATGTACTCAGTGTGGAAAGTGTTTTTCTCAAGCATCAGATCTCAGTGTTCATCTGCTCCGTCACTCTGGAGAAAAAACATTCAACTGTGATCAGTGTGGTAAAGGTTTTATTTCATCATCAAATCTAAAACAACACCAGAAAGTTCATTCAAATGAGAAGCCTCATGTGTGTTCTCTCTGTGGAAAGAGTTTTTCACGACTGGACAGTTTTAAACAGCACCAGAAAACACATAATGAAGTGAGAGATCATGTGTGTTGTGACTGTGGGAAGAGCTTTACTAGAACTGGCCATTTGAAACAGCACCAGAGAATTCATACTGGAGAAAAACCTTACCACTGTACTCAGTGTGGAAAGAGTTTCACAAATAAAGGATACCTTAACAAACATGCAAGAATTCACACTGGAGAGAAACCGTATACATGCACTCAGTGTGGAAAGGCTTTTTCTCGAGCATCAACTCTCAGCAATCATCTTCAAATTCACTCTGGAGAAAAACCTTTCAACTGTGATCAGTGTGGTAAAGATTTTATTTCATCATCAAGTCTAAAACAACACCTGAAAGTTCATTCAGATGAGAAGCCTCACATGTGTTCTCTCTGTGGAAAGAGTTTTTCACGGCTGGATCATTTGAGAGTGCACCAGAAAACACACAATGAAGTGAGAGATCATGTGTGTTGTGACTGTGGGAAGAGCTTTACTACAAATTGCCATTTGAAACAGCACCAAAGAATTCATACTGGAGAAAGACCTTACAAGTGCTCATACTGTGACCAGAGATTCACTCATTCTGGAAATCTGAATTCACACGAGCGACTTCATACTGGAGAGAACCTGTTCCACTGTACTCAGTGTGCAAAAAGTTTCAAACATTTATCAAGCCTTCTCACTCATATGAAAAAATGTTGCACATGAGTAACAATTGTTTTCATGTCAAATACTTCACAAGTAAACCGTGTGAGATGAAAAAAAAAAAAATGTAATTAAAAAACTGTGTAATTTAGAAAACTAAAAAGACTTTGTTTCATTGTAGTTTATTTCTGTCAGGAATTATTGTGTGCTTAATAAATCTTTATTGAATTGGATATATTCATGTAATTTAATTGTTTACTAAGTTTACTAAATTTTCTTCTGAAAGTACATGCAAAAAATAAAACCGAAACAACATCTTGTGTTGATTGATCTATTTAATGAACACAGACAATAAGTTATATAGTTTTAATCACATTAATGAGTTGAAACATTCTATATTAATACTGTGATAAATATGTTTGGGATGTACAGTATTATTGTCAACCAAATGATCAGGGGGCTGTTCCATAAATGAAGCTTAGAAAAGCGGGGATTAAACTCCAAAACCGGACTTGAATGAGCCTAACAAATAAGTTGGGGCTAAAGTGGTTCCATAAAAGGTAATTGAAGTTCACGCAATCTCACTAATTTGATCCAGGTTTATCTAGTCTAGCTAATTGCGTGTGCACGCGTTTCTGAAGCAGCCCTAGAGGTCGATCGTGGATCAAATCGATCCACCATCAAACAGCGTATATTTTGTGCTGTTTTACGCGTTTGTGACATGTTTTTTTTTCCCCCACAGTGCAAAAATTACATTTTACAGTTATATTCTCCATCTGTAAATGTTAGAAAGTCGTGCAAATGTATCCATTTTGCTGCTAATCTTTATGAACGAGCGCTGCTGCGCGCATGCGCGCCAAATAGGAGCGCAATAATTCTGACTAAAATATACATTTTTCTTGGAAAATTAATATGCGATATTTTATAACACTAGAAATATCTTCTAATTATAATAATTTCTCTTTAGGATGTTGGATATGTTGCAGTGAACTTCTAGCTCATTACACATATATTTTATACTTCTAATAAAAAAAAGAAATTGAACAGAAGTAGCCTAATTCAGGGAAGATTTTTTTTAAGAAACTAAATATATAAAGATACAAAATATAGTTTTGGGTATAGGACCTATGCTACTTTATAAAGATGATATATACTTATTTAGAATGCTGAGAATTACAGCTTTTTATGCAATATTTTTTTTGAGAAAGCAAGAATCCCCAGTTTTAAATGAGTGGTTAGATTTAGTTTCTAAAGTACATTATGGAGAGGATAACATTAAATTAAGAACAAATGTATACATTTTGAAAAGATATGTGCAACTCTAAAATCAAAGAATATTCCATAAAATAAAGGAATATATATTGGCCTACATTAACTACATTTTTATGTAACCTTCCCTTTTATTTCTAGTTATTTGTTATTTTATTTATTTACTTATTTAATATTGAATATTTGATATTTAAATAATATTACTTGAATAACTATTAGGAATTATGTGTCATTCATTATAAGAGTTTGATATATGTGAATGTTATATTTTTATTAATATTTATTTATTGTTTTATTTATATGAATGTGTTGGTATTATCACAAAAGAAAAAAAAGTAGAAGGAAAAATAAGGAATATTTATTGGGGGAAAATATGATGTCTTTAAAGGAACTGTCCATTTGTATAATTGTGTTAAATGTGTTTGAATTGAAAGACATAATAAAGTACATAATATATATATATATATATATATATATATATATATATATATATATATATATATATATATATATATATATATATATGACAGTGTAGAGAAAGAATTCTCTGATAACCGAGGCACTCCTTAATTAAAATGTCTTTATTACAAAAATGACATATCCTAAACGGACAACTTTAAAACGCCTTATATATGTGTCTATATTGTCTATATTGTAGCCTTATTTAAGTTGATTTTCTGTATACTGTGTATTTATAAAGTCCAATAATGGTATTAGAGACTGTCAGTGGTAATATCATTGTGTTCTTGTCGGTCAGTGTTGAGGATCTGTGTAACAACGGAGGCTTAGCCTGACAGTTAGCCTGCCCTGGACCAGGCTAGTTTCCCAGCATAAGTTGCCAGGGTAACTGAGTTTGAACTTTTTTAAGTTTGATTTATGAAACCGAATCTACCAAAAATAAGCCTGACTAACCGAAATAAGCCTGGCTTATACTCTAATCTTGGTTTATGGAACAGCCCCCAGGTCTTACAAAGAGGTTGGAGTTAATTTTTATCTTTCATTATGGACTGCTGAAGAAACATGAAGTGCCATAGCTTCAGTTCACCAGATTAAACAAACTGATCATTTGTATTATTTAAAGATGGTGTTAAATATCTCAGTACTGCAGTAAGTTGAAAATATAAATTACAGGACAACAGGATTTCATAAATGGAGAATAAGTCAAAGTCAAGTTAGTTTTGATTGATTCACTTCCGTTACAGAGATCATTAGTTACTAACTTAGGGGCTGCTTGCACTACACAGTTCTAACAGAAAACCCTTAACGTGCTCCGGCCCGCTCATCCACAGAACAACAGTGGCTGATGGCTCGAGAACGCAAGCCATGAAATAGGTTCCAAGGTGCAAGCGTTGAATTTTTTTGATAAACGCTATCTTCTCCACGTAAACTTCAAAAATGTGAATCTGGGAACTCGCTGATGGCGTGCACATGCATATTACGTATTTAGTCTAAAGGTATGCGCGTTTGAATATATATGTGCGCAGGCGTGTATTCTTTCTTTACAAATTTGCCGCTCCATTACATGTCTGGCCTTAAAATTTCATAATACAGGATGTTTTGTCACTTACGCGTATCCATGTGAACTGGAATCATTTTGACAACATTTTATCTGTACAGAGGTAAAGGGAAGGAGGCCTTCACAGGGAGGGACTAGTTGACACTTCAGGACTGCGTTGTCGTCGCGTCCAGACTCAGGTCCTTCATCAGATATGGATACGGCCTGGATCCGGCGGACTGCAGTAAATCTCTGGATAAACAGAGAGACTAATATTAGCCTAGACACCATTCTTCTTATGATGTAACGAGTACATCAGGATTTATGGGTGTTCCTGGTTCCGGCTGACCTAAACTATGCACCCTAATATTGAATTATATAAATTGATAATGTGTTATGTGTATGCTAGGTCAAAGAGATGTGATTTTAGTCTAGATTTGAACTGACATTATACAATTTTAACGATGTCTTTACTAACTTTTCTGGGCTGGCAGATATCAATTACCTACCAGCCTATGAAGGAGTGAGCTCAGATTTCATCAAAAATATCTTAATTTGTGTTCCGAAGATGAACGAAAGTCTTACTGTGCGTTCACACCGGACGCGAATAGCGCGTCAAATTCGCGCCTACCGCGTCTAGTTTGACGCTTGACCACTTTGTGTTAATTCGGCGTCAAGAGTGAAACTGACGCGCGTAAAAACAAAAGTTTGAAGCGAAATTTACGCGCGTCACGCGCGTCGGATTCGAAACCCGTTGGCGGCCATCTTTTTTATTTTGATCGAGCATTCATCGGGAGAGTCACTGCTCTGTATTTGCTCTGGAGAGCAGAACAGCGGCGTAGGGATCATCGTCGCCGTATTTGTGTCCACCAGACCCTTCGGAGGCGAACCCAGTTTGGCGAGTTTCACCATTTGCTCGCTCCAGGAGCTGCGCCTGGATGACGGACGCTTTCAGCAGTACTTCCGCCTGTCCCGCGCCCAGTTTGATGACCTGTTGTCCCGCATCAAAGCGAGGATCACCCTCGCCCTAACCCACCTATGTCATTTATTTTTTGTGTTGATGATAAATGGAGCCAGCCTCCAAAAGTGATTAACCTGTCCTGTGATTTTTTCTCTCTCACACAACACTGTCCAGACACGAACTTTTGCACTATAGTATTGTCGTGATGTGGTTTTGTGTCCTGTCATGTTTAGTGGTTCTCTGTCTTGTCATTAGTTTTCCCAGGTGTTTCTTGTTATCCACGCCCCCTTGTTATCCTGTCTGCTCGTTTGTCTCTGATTATTTAAGCCCTGTGTTTCTGCCCTGTCTTTGTCAGTTATTGTATGCATTTACGTACGACGAGTGTCTTGTGTCTTGCCTGTTCCGAGTATACCCAAGTCTGTATTAAATAAAGTCTACTGCTGCATTTAGATCCGACTACCGCCTTTGCTTCCACGCAATTCGTGATAGAATAACTGACCTCCCAGGATCTAGCAGTTAGGAGAAGAACTCACCGCAAAATGGATCCAGCAGTCGCTCCAGCAGTCTCTCCCATAGTCGTCATTAACCGGGCCCTGAGAGAATATCTCTCGGTAATGTTTCAAGAGAACCAGTCCGTCCGAAGCTACGCTAATGACTTCCTCTCCATTTGCCATCTAGGAACGCTCGATGAAATCCAGCTCATAAGCCTGTTTCGGAGCGGGCTGGATTACCGAATCGCTCGATGGATGCCGAGTGACATTACCGATTGGACTCTGGACCGGTACATTGCAGAGGCTTGCTTCGTGGACGGCTCCATATCCACGTTCCCGTCCTACCCAGTCGCGCCCGCGCTCCACAAGCCTGCAATGCACTTCAGCCCTGCCGAGACCGCGCTCCACAAGCCTGCAACTCACGTCTGTCCAGCCGAACCCGCGCTTCACGTGAGCCAAGTCGAGCCTGCTTTTCACGACATGCCTGAGCTTCTTCCCGCCGAGACCGACATGCCTGAGTTTCTGTCTTCCGAGCCCGCGACTAACGTCTGCCCAGCTGAACCCGCGGTTCACGAGTCAAGTGCCGAGTCAAGTGAGTCAAGTCCCGAGTCAAGTGAGTCAAGTCCCGAGTCAAGTCCCGAGTCAAGTGAGTCAAGTCCCGAGTCAAGTGAGTCAAGTGAGTCAAGTCCCGAGTCAAGTGAGTCAAGTCCCGAGTCAAGTCAACCACTTAATAAAATCATCCGCGCGTAACGCGCCAGACGCTCAATTCGCGGCATTTGAATGAGGCGTATTCGCGTCTACCGCGCCGCAGGAATTTTTTACGCACGTAACGCGTCTTTGCATTGACTTAACATTGAAATCACTCGCGGCTGACGCGCTATTCGCGTCCGGTGTGAACGCACCATTACGGGGTTGGAACAACATGAGGGTGAGTAATTACTGACAGAATTTTCATTTTTGGTTGAACTAACCCTTTAAAGAGGGCCCTCCTCAGTTGAAAATTTCACCAACTTTCTTAAAAGGGGTGGCGTAATGCCCCTTTTTACAAGATATTTAACCCTTGTGCATCCTTATGGACATTTTTGTCCTTTTCTGTTTTTTTTATCACTTTGCCTGTGTTAATGCTAACTGCATAAAATTTGGCACAGGTGTGTATTTCTATTGTAATTTTACTATTTCACCGCCATTTTCTTAAAAAAATCTTTTTTGCACTAGGTACACAAAATACTCCCACTCAGCGCCTTTTGGACAAAAATGTCCCCATTGAAACCCATTAAAACTGCCATTTTTAATCCCAGTGCCATTTAACTATAAAATGATGCAATCTTTGTTAAGAGGCTTTCATTCTGTTGGCAAGGCTTCAAATTTTAAATTTTTACTATTTTTTACCAGATGGTGCCATTTTTCCAGGTTTGGCCTATAAAACAAATATCGCTTTATTCCTGTTTTCTGCTTCGGCATATTATAGAGCCAATTGGATAAATTGTGCAACGATAATTGTGTGGGTGTGTTGGTATGGATGTCTGAGTGTGGTTTGTATGCGTGTAATAAAAAAAAAATTGTGTGTGTGTCTGTTTGTGTGCTTTGGCAATTGAGTTTTTCTCTCTCAAATTTTACATCTAAAATCCAATCAGTGTGTACACCAGTGGAGTTTTGCTGGCACCCAATGGGGAAAATCTGTTACTGCGCCCAAACAAAATCTTACCGAAAGCTCATTTTTTGAGATATCAACCTCAAATTTGTAACACAACTTATTTAGATTTATGGCTTTGAATTTATATCAGTTTTAGAGTTCAACATGTTTCATAAAATATATATTTTATATAAAATAACGATAATAATGTTGATAAATAATTTTCATAAACTTAAACCTCTATACAAAATGTTTGGTTTCCCTTTTTTCACTTGTTTAACTTCAGCAATAATCTGCCAAGGGTCCTCTTTAAAATGAGACCAAACTTAAGTCTTTGCTCCCAAGCCTAATATTTTTATGACAGTTTTTTGACATGGACATTTTTGTCCACTTTGTAGCTATGTGTAACTTTTTTTTTTTTGTTAATGCTAACTGGATGAATTTTGGCACAGGTGTGTATTTTTATTGTAATTTTACTATTACACTTCCATTTCCTTTGAAAAATCTTTTTTGCACTAGGTCCAAAAAATACTTCCCTCTCAGCGCCTTTTGGACAAAAATGTCCCCATTGAAACCCATTAAAACTGCAATTTTTAATCCCAGTGCCATTTAACTATAAAATGATGCAATCTTTGTTAAGAGGCTTTCATTCTGTTGGCAAGGCTTCAAAATTTACATTTTTACTATTTTTTATCAGATGGTGCCATTTTTTCCAGGTTTGGCCTATAAAACAAATATCGCTTTATTCCTGTTTTCTGCTTCGGCATATTATAGAGCCAATTCGATAAATTATGCAACGATATTTGTGTGGGTGTGTTGGTATGGATGTCAGAGTGTGGTTAGTATGTGTGTTATAAAAAAATATGTGTGTGTGTGCATGTGTGTGTTTGTAATATTGAGAGAGAAAAACTCAACTGCAAATAACAAATGCAATCACTGTGTACACCAGTGGAGTTTTGCTGGCACCCAATGGGGAAAATCTGTTACTGCGCCCAAACAAATTCTTACCGAAAGCTCATTTTTTGAGATATCATCCTCAAATTTGGAACACAACTTATTTAGATTTATGGCTTTGATTTTCTTGCCGTTTTAGAGTTCAACTTGATTTATAAAATATATGTTTTATGTAAAATAATTTTCATAAATAATTTTCATAAACTTATACCTATATAACTTTTTTTTGGATTTACTTATTATTTTTTTACTTCAGCAATAATCTGCCAAGGGTCTTCTTTAAAATGATACCAAACTTAAGTCTGTGCTCCCAAGCTTCACATTTTTATGACAGTTTTTTGACAAGGACATTTTTGTCCTCTGTGTAGCTATGTGTAACTTTTTTTAATTGATGCACAAGGGTTAAGTCTCTGATAAGTTTCTGATGTTCCCAGACTAGAGATCCCCTTTTGCAACACAGTCGCGTGGTGTCGCGACCCCTCCAGACATTTGACGGTGCGGATCCACTTGTCCATGCGGCACTTCTATCGCGCCGCGCTCCACTTTATTCCTATGGGTGACGTCACGCGACTTTGACACGCCCGCAAAGCATTCTGGGAAGGCGGCGCTTCATTTAGAAAAATGCTGCGCGTCAAAAGCTGGCCGATGCCCATCTTTATGCAAATGAATTCCGTTGAACGCGACGCGACTATCCAATAGAAGTAGAGTATATGGAGACGGGGGGAAGTCTCTCGCAGGTCCTCTGTTCTAGACTGGCCGCTGGCTCAAAACCACGCCCATAGCGGTAATAATGAGGAACGCCCATCAAAGTACAAATGTGGGGAGGCGTCGCGACAACACGCGACTGTCGTGTCGCAGAAGTGGATCTCTACCGTGAGCCGGCGGCCAGTCTAGAACAGAGGACCTGCGAGAGACTTCCCCCCGTCTCCATATGCTCTACTTCTATTGGATAGACGCGGCACGTTCAACGGCGTTAATTTGCATAAAGATGGGCATCGGCCAGCTTTTGACGCTTTTTTCAAATGAAGCGCCGCCTTCCCGGGATGCTTTACGGGCGCATTAAAGTCGCGTGACGTCACCCATAGGAATAAAGCGGAGCGCGGCGCGACAGAAGTATCGCACGGACAAGTGGATCCGCACCCTGAGTGTGTATGTGAAGTTTTAGCTCAAAATACCCCACAGATATTTTTTTATAGCATGTTCAAATTGTCCCTTTTTGAGGGTGAGCAAAACTGCGTCGTTTTGTGTGTGTCCCTAGAAAATGCAAATGAGCTGCTGCTCCCTTACAAGATAAGGGCTGAGCTACAACAGCTCCTGTGTGTTAGCATCTCCAATTACCTCACAGAAATACACTAAAATGTCAAAAACTGTTCTGCCTTTTATGTTCAAACTGGAGTCGGACAATGATGGAGAGATTCAAGAAAAAGTGACAACATGTAAAATGCAACAGGACGTTTCTGAATGGTTAGTTAATGAATGTATGTAGCTGATGTAGAGTTAACTATCTTCAAGTCATTAATTAGTATATTCTGTCATGATAATCTATAAATCGCTCGTGTGGGAACTGTTGTAAGTCATGCTATTGCATTTGTGTCACGGACTGTATTGTAATAAATGTGAAAAGACGGATGTGACAGCTTGAGCAGACTCAAATGTGCTCTACTACAACAACTCTTCCTCTTCTCAACATGGACCCCCTTTGTTGCATGTTGGATTTATGTAAATGTTAGGGTTCGTGATATCACTAACCCGGGAGGAAGCTTGTGTAGTCCCTATCAGTCGTTTGTTGTAGTCCTTAAAAAGCGATTTCTGTAATATCTGTAACATCAGATGTTTTTTTATGCTCAAACAGCAACATTAGACACTAACTAAAGTTAAAAAAGTGAAATCATAATCAACCACCCCTTTAACTTTCTCCACTCTAGCGACGGCCCTGTATGTAATGTAGTTATGCAGGAATATGCGGCCCCTTTAAGAAAAATTACACCGCGCGTAGTGAGCATGCGCAGAAGAATGTAGGGCGAGTGGCTGAGAGGAGCAGCGCATTCAGTCGAGGCTGTTTTGTTAGAAGAAAGAAAAAGGGTATTCGGTTGCTTCTTACCTGAGCGATGTTTTTATGTGTAAATACAAAGCCAAAGCAACTGTCTTCATCTTATGTGTATGGTGATTTTGTCAGACGACGTCTCGATTATAAATCAGGATTTTGAGCAGCTGCTTAGAAGTGACTGCTGGTTAACATGTATGCGTCTCGTTTCATTCACTATTTTATATTCTTCCCGTTGTCTGACAACAGAAACATACAATTATATAGATAAAAACGAGTTTATTTTAAAGGGCTGACAGCCAGCAGAATGCAAATACGACGTAATTGCGTCATCGATATGCTGATTTAGTGATTTTGCATATGTTATCTAGCGATCGGGAATGAAGGACAAACGTGAATTATTTTCTAAGGATGCCGTATATATTTGTCTTATAGCCTATAGTCTTCAGGTGAGAGATGTTTCTCGGATTATAGAGTTTAACATTAAACAGCTCCAGAGTTTATGTGTTTAAGCACTAATGTAATGAAATGCGTTGTGTTTCCTGGTTTATAATTACTTAGAGTAATAATATGTTGGCAGAGAGTTTTTCCACAGACTCTGTTTGACTCTGTCAAATGTGCTTAATCACTATAATGAATGAGGTGAAAACAGGGAACTTTTGGAGACAAAGATGATTGATGGCTCTGTTATTTCTGTCAGACTTTGGACAACAATTAAACACCTAGCTTTATATGCAATTGATATCTAACTTTATTTAAAAATTCTCTATCAGAAAACATACATGTTCAATTAATTTAAATGTAATTAAAGTAATTCAGTAACTTCTCTTTGAATTTGGCAGATCTGGTGTCCATCCCACAACAATTCACCAATAAATACTGGGAATATTCCCATCATCCTACAAGAGAAGGACAAACTCCAGGAGTAGCAGCTGAAATCTGTGTGACTGTTAAAGATGGAGTTTATTAAAGAGGAGATTGAAGACATGAGTGATCCAGAACCATCCAGAATAAATCATGAAGATACTGAGGAACAAATAGGTTGGTGTCCATTCTTGATTCTTCATTGTTGACTGTTGAGAAACAAATTTACCAGATTTAAGATATAGAAGTGCATCTAAATTATCATGATCTTGCATAGCTGTTGTCATCCAAAAATGTTCACTTGAACTGATCTTAAACCACATGAATTTTTTTTTTTTTTTTAGACTGGGTGGAAGTGAAGCTAGGACATAAACTGGATGAAGGCGAGGAAGATGATTGTACACAGTACATCTGCTCTCAGTGTGGAAAGAGTTTTTCTCAAACATCAAGTCTCAGTAATCATCTGTGCGTTCACCCTGAAGAAAAACCATATAACTGTGATCAGTGTGGTAAAAAATTTAATTCATCATCACATCTAAAAAAACACCTGAAAGTTCATTCAGATGAGAAGCCTTATGAGTGTTCTCTCTGTGGAAAGAGTTTTTCAAGGCTGGATCATTTTAAACAACACCAGAAAACACATGATGAAGTGAGAGATCATGTGTGTTGTGAGTGTGGGAAGAGCTTTACTAGAGATGACTATCTTATACGGCACCAAAGAACTCATACTGGAGAAAGACCTTACAAGTGCTCATATTGTGACAAGAGTTTCACTCAGTCTGGACACCTGAAAGTGCATGAGCGAGTTCACACTGGAGAAAAGCCGCACCAGTGTACTCTGTGTGGAGAGAGTTTCAAAAATGCGATAGGTCTCAGCAATCATCTGTTCATTCATTCTGGAGAAAAACCATTTAACTGTCTTCAATGTGGGAAAGATTTTTATTCATCATCAAATCTTAAAAAACACCTGAAAGTTCATTTAGATGAGAGGCCTTATGTTTGTTCTGTTTGTGGAAAGAGTTTTTCAAGAATGGAAAATTGCAAACGGCACCAGAAAACACACAATGAAGTGAGAAATCATGTGTGTTGTGACTGTGGGAAGAGCTTTACTACAGCTGAGCATCTGAAACAGCACCAAATAATTCATATTGGAGAAGAACCTCTCAAGTGCTCATATTGTGACAAGAGTTTCACTCAGTCTGGAAACCTGAAATTACATGAAGGAGTTCATACTGGAGAGAAGCTGTACTACTGTACTCAGTGTGAGAAGAGAGTTTTAGACATTTACCAAACTTTCTCACAGATATGAAAAAAAAAACTGCGAGCCTTCCAAATACCTCAGAAGTACAGTGTGAGAAAATATAGTTTTTGCTTAATTTTGGGAATTTGGCGAAAAGATTGGAAAACTAGAAAGACTTAAGAGCTGAAGCTTCACCAGTCAATAACTCTTACAGTGTAAATAAAATAATTTTAGTTTTTTTTCTGTCAGGGTGAATTGTGTGCTAAATGTCTTTCTTGAATTAGATTCATGTCATTTTCATATTTACTAAGTGTACTAGATTGTGTTCGGATAATTCATGTAATATGATAAATAAAACAGAAACATCATCTTGTCTTGATTGATCTATTTAATGAACACAGATAATGAGTTATATAGTTTTAATCACATTAATGATCTTTTCATCATTTTATCTTAATACTGTGATACAAATGTTTGGGGTGTACAGTATTATTGTCAACCAAATGATCAGGTCTTGTATCATGCAAAGAGGCTGGAGTTCATTTTTATCCTTCATTATTGACTGCTTAAGATCAATAAAGTATCAACGCTGCAGTTTACCAGATTTTAATGTAGGGCTCCATATTTATGACATTTGATTAAACAACTTCAGGTAACTACCAAAGTCACATGTATCTGGACTCCATTAGCAGCTTTCATTGGCCAAGGACCAACCAGAGGCCGCCTGACTGACATGTAAAGCAACTAATCACAGTTCATTTTGTAAAGCGTCATGTTTAGGGCATGAACATGTAAAGACGATGTCTTACAACAACAGAGTGGCATGTTAACTGTCTATGCTATAAAGCCAAAGGTCCCAAGAATGGTCACCAACTTTCTTGATCTGTTGACATATACTGTAAGAGGTCATTGATCCCCCTTTCAACCCTCTTGATTAATAGCATCTCAGGAACTGCACAAAGTCACAAAATCTAGCATCTGGGGTGCCCCAGGGCTCAGTGCTTGGACCACTTCTCTTCTCCATCTACATGTCATCCCTAGGATCTGTCATTCAGAAACATCTGTTTTCCTATCACTGTTATACTGATGACACACAACTCTATCTCTCATTCCAGCCAGAGAATCCGACTGTAGATGCCGTATCTCAGCCTGCCTGATGGACATTTCTTGCTGGATGAAGGACCACCTTCAACTCAATCTGAGTATTACAAGACGTTTTGCAATGCCAAGTTGTGGAAAAACACAGTCTTTGCAATTCTAACATGAAGAAAGCTTGGATGAACTTTATTTTAATTAAGTATATCAATAAGACTGTTCATTTGTTCACTTCATTTTACCCACACCCACAAGTAACGCTGTTTTTACCATGTGTCACTACTGCTTTGTTGGTTACAGAATGTTTGATATGTACTGGGTATTTATGCTGTAGCGCCAGTCGAACACACTGAATCACTGTTAGTAATGCAGGACTCAATGAATATGTTAAATACCGTAACCATTTATCAAGTGATATAATAATGTATCATTACTGCTTGAAAATTCAACAGTTAAAGCATGAAATAAGGGACCACAAATCAGTAAATTTGAATTTACACTGGGTATATTATCAGTGTTTAAGTAGTCATGCAATTTTTTGTAACCATTTAAAAAAAAGAAATCAGCCATTTATATCAATGCGATTCAGAATGAAGGCCACACAACTAATGTTTTCCACTAGAGGGAGCTACAGGACAGTAAAATCTCAGTTCAAAGACTGAAAATTAATAACACTAATATTGCAAATAAATGTATTTAAGTTTCAAAAAGTTTAATAAAGTCCAGTACAATAAGTTTCCAAAAATTGTGATCTCCAAAATACGAATTAACCTCCATTTATTTTGTCTTCATTTTAATCCTAATAATATTGACAACATATTTATCAAGTTGCAGACATGGCTGAATGTATGTCCAATTGAAGAAGAGACATATTATTTGTCTATTTTAATATAGTAGCCTACATAAATGAAAACTTCCATAAAATGACACTATACTCTTATTTTATTTGGAAAGAGACATATCCATTGTAGAACTACTGATTCTGAACTAGTATCTACACAAGCCATTGTGCTTGTGATGATCGTCTCAAGTTAAACTGCATTGTTTAGGATTGATCTAGGAGCTTTATAAAGCTTTTTACAGCGGATGCCATTAAAAACACTGTCTAAAACACAGTCTATCCCTCACAGCCTCACTTTCATACCTGTCATGGCGCTGCTCTGAATAAGGTCTAGTTGCCTGTTTTCACCTCATTAATTATGGTGAGGTCATTAGTGTCAACAGGCAGAGACAATCACCAGTATGCTATTATTACGGAGAAAACTGATCCTAGACCAGCAGTTTTTCTCTCTAAAAGCAATCAAAAGCTTCAGCAGGCCCTTCGTGTTTTGTTCTTATTCTGTTCATTGGCTATTATATTTATAAATTGATTTTTTTTTTTCGTGAAACTGTTGGCTGACAAAAATCACATTTAACATTGAGGTCCAACCAAGATCCGCTCACTTTAAAGTTTCTGGCCTCGCCACACCCGCCTATATATTTAGGCTTATGCATGGGAGACATGATGTAGACAAACTATACTGTAACTGTTATGGAGTGAAGGTAAACAGATCGTTGAATCCATACATTGTATTGTGTATTGTGCATTATTAATTATTATGATAGTGTATTTGCTTCAAAACAGTTCGGAGATGTGATTTACGGAATGCGGCCCCTTTAAGAAATATTACACCGCGCGCAATGAGCATGCGCAGAAGAGAGAATAGCTAGAGTTTTGTTTTGTTTCATCTCTCTCTCTTTTTTTTTTTCTTTTTGTTGTTTCCTTTGACGCTATTATGAACGCATTAGTCGAATACACTGTGATCCCCTGTAAGTGTATGTTGTGTTAATGTTCTTGTTAATGCAATAAAAAAGAGAGAAGCGCGAGAGACGAGACGAGCGCTGAAACTTTCACCATTTGAGGCTGAAAGTGACGCTGTTAACGATCGTGAATGAAGAACAAATGTGAAATATTTTTTCCGGATGTCGTATATTTCCAATCTGCAGGTCAGATATGTTCTATTCATAATGTAAGAATGTAAGTTTGCGTTGCCTAAAATGTAGGCTACATTGTAGTGTATAACGTACGAGAATTAAATATAGTCATTATTTTTTATCAGCCTCTATTCAGTGACAGTCTGTACATTTTGTGCATGATATCTGTTGTCTTTGTTAGTTTCCTGTTAAATTCATATATTAATTGAAGAACCTGTCTTGTTTCTCTCTTATAAAATCTGTATTCCATTAAAAATGAACAACCTTCATAGAGTCGTTTTAAATACTACTAATATACAACCATATCAAAAAGCTCTATATTTCTAAAAGCAAGCATAATATGGTAATTTAATTTAAGAACCGTTATTATTTAAGTATTGCAATATAACCTCAATAACCTGAATTTGGCAGATCTTGTATCCCTCACTACAATTCACCAAAAAGAAAGCTTCAGTTTAGTCATGACAACTCTCAGGCCGTTTCTCAATATGCGTTCTTGTTTGTACTTGTGTTCTTGTGGACTTGTGAAACGTCATCAGTCGCTGCCCAAGTCCTGTTTCAATAGGCTTTATGCCCAGCTGCACTACTTCCTGGGTGCTTCTCAATATCCCTCCTCGTCTCCTCGTTCCTCCGTCCTGCATCCTATGACCCGGAAACCAATCGAGCTCAGCCATCTTGAAGGACATCTCAATTCTGTAATTGCACCGCGAGGAGGCGAGGATCGAGGAGTGAGGAGGCTTCCAGAGGAGCTATGAGCGAGGATACACAGGTGTACCCTTTTCGGAAGAGTTTTATCGACTAAACATGACGCACGTATCAATTCTCCTCCCCCTTCACATCTGTCACAATCATTTGAATTTATACTTTACTTTTGTAGTTTACATAAACCACAAAACTCACATAATTCAACAAGGTATCTGGCTTTATTATTATTTATTATGAATTTCTTAAATAAACAAACTTTGACAACATAAGGGCAGATCCTTTGAGCACTGCTGATGACGCTATGAAGTGACGCTCGAGTGATCAAGTATTCCAATGTATAAAAAAAGCGTTCATTCGATTCCTCCGTCCTCATTTTCTTTCCTTGCGTCCTTCCCTCACAACCTAGAGGGGGTGGAGCTGAGACGCTAGGAAAGGAAGCGAGGAAAGGAAACGAGGATGCACACCTGAACTTCAGCCAGCTCCTTGTTTCCTGTCTGACATTATTGGACAAACTGATTAACTCAGGTGTGTCTGGTATTTGTTACTGGTCAGGCACACCTGGATTAATCAGTTTGTCCAATAATGTCAGACAGGAAACAAGGAGCTGGCTGAAGTTCAGGAAGTAGTGCAGCTGGGCATAAAGCCTATTCAAAGTTCACATCTAGCCAAGTACTGTTCAAATCCCCGGATGTGTTCTCCGCCCCTTTTACAGAGGATGCATCAGAGGTGACCTGTGTAGAGTGGGCTTGAGACAGTCAGGTATCCCAGAATGCATCTCGCACCAACCAGCAAGCGTCAGCGTAATTTAAGAATACATTTTTTGACGTTTTCTGCTGGCTCTATTTTCTCTAGTCTAGTGGTTACAAGAGATATAATTCATCTCGTGTGTATCTTTTGGGTGATCTTTGGTCTCATGAATCTATAATTTATTCCCTGGCAAATCGCTTTGGCTGAGGGCAAGGTGAAGTTTCATAACTTTTTATATTTAGGCTATTTAACTTTACCGTTGTAGCCTATTAAAGCGCTGACTTTGTACGTTTGACTGAATTGTTTGCTTGTCTTTATTTCTTGTTCTATAGCTTCTTATTCTTTTTACTTATACTTTTATAATGACTATTCATTAAAACTGACATTTAACAAAAAAAAGAGTCATATTTAATTTTATTACAGTGAAGATTATCAGAGTACATGTGCACATATTGCCTGAACCACATATTAATATGTTTTATATTTTTAAAATGTAAACGCCGCAGGGTTGTGTTTTATATTATGTTTTGTTATGAATATACATGCAGCAGTAAATATAATCAATGTATGTGTTGCCTGAACCACATTTGTGTGGCTATTAATATGTTCAAGAAGATTTTTTAAATGAAGACGAAAAGAGGCAGAGTGGCGTTTTATAACATATTTCATTTTATTGTTATATAC